AAAGGCGCAGATCAGGAGAAGGGTACAAAAATATTAAATTCTCTGAATATCCTTGTGTGAACTCAATCATCAATAAATGGAAGGAATATTGTAATACCTAGATCACACCTTCACTTTAAACAAGCAGTCAGACAAGCATTACAATTGTTGCAACCCAGCACAGCACATTTCCAAATCATAATAATCCTTATAGTCAAGTGGTGGTGACAGCATCATGTTATGAGATACTTCTCCTCAGCACGGTCTGGAAAGTCTGAAGGAAAAATAAATGGAGTGAATTACAGGCAAATACTAGCAGATGTATTTCAGTTTGCTGAAGAATTAAAGCTGGGAGAGAAAATTCACACCTTTCAAAGGACAGTGATCCGAAGAACCAGGCCAAAGCCACAAAGGAGTGGCTGACTGTAAGTACAACAAAGTGAATGTCCTTGAAGTCCTGATTTAGGACCTGTGGACAGACTACAAAACTGTTGTCCATAAGTGATCTCTAAGCTATCTGAAACAGTGAGAGCAAATCTTCTTTAAAGAATATCCACCAAACTACCACTGTATAAAGTTGGTAAAGACCTCCCCAAAAGGACCTGCAGCTTTGTTATTGCTGCCAAATGTGCTTCCACCAAATATTGAGATCATGGGTCTGAATATTTATGCAATCAACATATTTGAGTTTTTTCTCTTTAGTTTTTGGTGACATTTACTGTAACGGCTCATCCCTGAAAACCTTCACTTTGAGGTTTCAGGGATTTTTAACTTTGATTTAATCCCTTTGTAATTTGGGACAGCTTAGGAAGAGTCTGCATACGTTTGCAAGGCATTGTACAAATAAAAAAGAATCTGAATTTTTTAAATGTCTTTACATTTTGAAATAAGGCCAAGATGTATAGATACAATGTTTTGATTAGAATAACAATAAAAAACAGCAATAATACTGCAAAATGCAGTGTCTAAGTAAGAAAAATAATTCTAAAAAGGGTAGAAACTCATTGGATTAAAGTAATGGAGTAATGTACAGGTATATTACAGTTCTGGCTTTCCTACACCAAAATTCTGCTAAAAAATATCTGTAAGCTTATTAGCCAAAAAAGCTAATCAAATGTGTTACTTGTTATTAATAACAGTTCAGAGGTGTCCTTTTCAATCAGCTTTACTTCATAGCAAGACCACCAGTGCCAGTTGCAGAACCTATTGATAAATAACAGACTCAGGATATTGTCCTACATTCACATGCTTGCTCTACAAACCTGTAGACTCTAGAGAATGTGAACACAGCTGATAGAAACAATGATGGATTTCAGTTATTAGCAGATCAAAAAGATGGATGGTATTCTGCTTTCCCCAATCAACATCATCATCTAGATCTATTTAAAGATACTCTGTGTGCTAATAAACTTAGTTAAGCCTTTGATAACATCAGAGCAGAATAATCTGCAGCATTACACTGCATCTGTATTGATCGATAAAATCACTTGTACGGTGAAGGCACTAGTACGCACTGACAATCCGAGTCATTAATATTATTTAACACGGTTTTCACCGGCTTTAATGAGGAAGAAAAAACAGTTTATCTTGTACTAGATTTAGCATGAAATCTCTCCTCTGCCACCTTTAGTGGAAGCAAGAGGAGAAAATAAAAGATAAGATCACCTTGCAAGTTGCTTTCATTTTCTGTTAAGAAGTAAATGGTACTTTTTTCACCCAGGTTGGTGCTGACTTTAGTGGTGGATACATCCTTCTTGTAAAGCTCTTTGAAATCTTTCTGGGCAAATAGTATTATACAATTGTAAGGTATTAATATTTAATTTCCCAAGGCTCACTGTTTTGAAGTGTCTTAAGTAACTATTATATTTTCACTAATAAGGCATTATCACATGAAAATTGCTCAAGTTTTAATTTTTATCCCAAAATAAACATATAAACCGCTGTGCAAAAGGTATCTTAAACACAAAGATGAGTTACAACATTATGCTTTTTATTGAGCATCAGCAATTAACAGCCTGCTCAACTGTTTTCTACTAATATAAAAACTTTGTATTACATTAATGCAGCTTAGTTTGGGTGAGAGGAAACCAAGTTGATAAGTTAGCAATCTGTAGCTCACATTGAACAGAATCTTCAAAAATGTGATCACAACAACTCAAATTAAACAACACAGGAGCTGCCAATACTACCTGTGTAGTACCCAATCCATCACAATTACAAATCAGATCTAACTGACTCCTTGTCAGGTGTTTCTTGTCATTGACCTTATTGTTCCTTTCTTCATATACTTAAAGCTAAAAGGCTACTTTTCTGTGCTACAAAATACAGATCAGAATTTAGCTTACAATAAACTTGCTAACATTTCAATACATTTCTGCATAATGAAAGAAATAAAACTGAGTGGACAGAGCAAAACAAAGCAAGATACAGGCTACTGACCCCATTCTAATGATGATTACTACTGCATGTAGCACCACGATTCTAATTTGTATTAATTAAAAACAATGTACTGTATATGCATTTTTTAAACTGAATATTTTTTTTTATCAAAACTAGAAAACTGAATGTTTAATTGAGTGACAGAACTTTAATGTCAACGTTCAATCCTATCAAGAAAAAGAAATAACTAAAATATGTTGATCAGGTAGGTATTCGCCCACCTTGGTGGAACAATACTTAGTGGAAGCAGCTTTGACTATAACTGCAAGTCTTTTTGAATATGTTTCTACCAACTTTGGACACGAGGCTAATGCAACATACACTGATTCTTCTTTGCAAACTTGCTAAAGCTCTGTCAGGCTGGACTTGGGATTGTTGATGAACAGCTATTTTCATGCACTGCACTGAGTTTCAATCAGACTGAAATCAGTTCTTTGGGCCACTCAAGGACGTTTACTTTCTTCTTGTTAAGGTAGTCCATTGCAGCTCTGGCCTCATGCGTTAGGTTACTTTCCTGCTGAAAGGAAATTTTCATCCCAGTTCCAGATTTGAAGACTGAAAAAAGGTTTTATCTAAGATTTGCCTGTATTTTGCTCCATCCACATTATCCTCAGTCTAGACAACCTCCCAGTCCCTGATGATGAATAGCAGCCACATAACAGTGCAGCTACCACCAGACTTGAAAGCAGGGATAGTGTTGACTGGGTGATGCACTGTGTGGGCTTTGTGTCATGCATAACATGAAAGTAAACTATAGCATATCTACAATAACTTGGCCACAAAGAAAAGCTGGCCCATATGGGTGAGTTGCAAGAAAGAAGTATTACATACTGTATAAGTGCTAGCCACAAAGAACAGCACATCACCATGTCAGCACTATTCAAACTCTGTGGTGGCAGCATCATGATACTTCTCATCAGCTGCCACTGGGAATCTTTTTGTAATCAAGGGAATACAGCAGAAATCATTCGTGAATCCTAGAATAAAGCCTAAGGGATGTTATGTTAAAAACATTCTCATTTAGAATATTTTGTACAATTTTAGTTATAATGTTAAAGAACATACTGCTGCTATGAAATCAAGTAATCAAAACTCTTAAACGCATGATTATAGTCATACCCTGTGGGCTTTTTCAACAGCAAAACACAAACAAGAGGACAACTTGAAACTGTGCAAGGGCTTTTAAAACCAGCAACAGGACAGAATGATTTACATAAATGGTGGTGATAGTATATACGTTGCATAACCATACTAATGAATCCAACTATAAAATGGGCCATATGGACTCCCATTATTTGTAACCTTTCTTACAGTATACCCAGTACTGACTTATGGGGCTAAATACTAGCATTGAATTAATCAAATATACTTGAAAAAAACAATTTTATACATTGAACAATCTTCAGAAAGATCATTGTAGTTTTGGTTCAAATTATTGTGCAAGACATTTGAAAGATTTGGACGTGTTACTGGTATTTCCACATTAATGTGGAATATTCAAACAAACATACCTGTTTGTTTCTGCCAGTCATTTTATTATAATTATATACAAAGTATTATTTTAGAGTTTTGTTGTAGTCCATGTCACACGTGTTGCATTAAGCATCTATAGATTTTGGCACATGTAGTATACTGTTTATGAGCATTAAACAAGAAAAACTGGTACAATATTTGGAATCCCAGGTAGTAAGATACAAACATGAAAACAAAAAACCTGTTCAATGTATAGCAAGTACATTTTCACTATATAGTGGAAATGAACATTGATTTAAACAATAAGTAAAACAGTAAAAACTAATAAAACAGTAGAAATTGTAACATTTTGGAAATAGTATACCAGTATTATTTTTTGAAATTATAGATTCCATAGCACATCATATACTAGAGAGAATTCAAGATACAAAAACACCTGAGAGTAGTAACTGTGACAGAAGCTGTTACAAGACATCAACACCTAGACCTGTGACACCATGACAGTGACAGAAATCGGCTATTATCTCATCACAGTCTGTATGTCAGAATTTGTGGCACCAGCAGTCTGTGCTGTAAAGGTGTAGTGCCCACGCAACGGTAAATCAATACAGCTTTTGAAAATTCACCGACTGCTGAAACCTGCATCACAAAACCTAATTTGCACTTCAAAATTTAAGTAAATGCAGATGACTATTATATTATGAATCCATGACCACAGGAAATACAGTATATGGCCTCGGTACTGCTATTACAGTATAATATAAAGTTCAAACTTTTTTGTTTTTCTGAAAAATGTAGAAATAAATTTGATTAATTTTGGTATCACTTCTCATCATCAGGCTGAAAATATGCTGCATTAACAATGACATTATATAGTTTATATTAAAAAGTCTTTTTAATACACATTTTATACATTGAATCAAACAATGTATCATGTTATCAGATCTTAAAATATAATGAAGTGAAATAAATATGTAATTAATTCAAAGCTTAATATCTTTCGTGAAATCATGAATAAAATCTTCAGGAAGAAGAACCCATATTTCAAGCTGTGGAAGTTATAAAATTTGAGAGTGGTCTAAATCTCCTAAACAAGCTGGGAGCTATACCTGCAGGTATACTTCCAGTCCAAGTCGTCTTTGCTCCAGGACTTTGGGAACCCAGTTCCTCACATGCTTTGATGGCATCTCAGGTGGTTTAATAAACTTTTTAAGCTGAAAAAATGAAAAAGAAAGCCATGAAACCTCAGAAGAATAATGAACAAGCCATGTAAAAAAAATGATTGCCACCATCAGCACTATGCTGCTTTATTATTGCACGCAATTATTATTGTTGTTAGAATTTCATTCTGCTGGGGAAAATCTTCCTGTGCCTGCTCTTCACTGACAATGAAGCGATGCTACAGTTCTGAGCGTAGCATTGCGTGATACAGAGTACCTTCGGTTTACAGACACCAGAAACACACATTTACTTTCAGTGTACCTATTACATTTCTCTTTGCCTTTCTATCTTTTATTGCTGGTCATTTGTTCTATTATTTTTTTCTTTCTTCTCCCCTCTCAGCTCTTCAGCAAAGAGCAAGTTGACATCATTCCAGTTACTGGGGACTGTGACAGTCAATAATGAATTGCTTCAGATGAATGAAGACAAACCTGAGACAATCTGAGTTTCCAGTAGGGCTGAGCTGCTTACAAGATAAATACTCTAAGGGTGCCACTTCAGCCAATGATTAACAATCCTTCTTGCTCTGTGTGGACCTAGAGTACCTCAGCCTTACAGTCATTCACGAAGCAGTGGAAGGAGGTATGGAAACTGCTTACCTTTTTATGCAGTGCATGGAATTCACTGTAGCGCTTTTCGACTGAATGCTGCCTTCCACTCATCAGAACATCAATTTTAAAAACCTGAATAGGAGAGAAACAAAAATTAGGCTTAAGAAATGTAAAGCATCTTTTAATCTTTGAAGCATTCAAAGTTAAGCATACTAGACATAAGTTCATAAGGCACTAGTAATTAGAAACCATTAAAGTAAATGAACTTACATCTACAAGTAAGGTTGTTATGCAAATACAAAACTACACTAAAAATGTATGTGCTGCATCACATTTCTTAAGCAATTAATTGAAAACATTAGCTAAAACAAAAAAAAGTAAAATAGAGACACATAATATAGGTATAAGGGGAACTTTTCCCTGTGTGGAGTAACCGAGGAAGTCTATAATACACACAATGCATGTCTGATGACAGAAGCAGTATGTCTTCAGGAAGACAATAAATGCAAAAAGTGCATTGCAGGTTAATTTCCTCCTAACCTGCATATTCATCTCCAGACTCAGCTGCACACATTCTGGCAGTTATAATACAAGAGGGGGATGGCAGCAAGTTCATTTTCTAAACACGATGCGCATGACAGCTCCCCCCTCGCTCTGCACCATCCTGCTGGAGGGTGAAAGGCCATAGGAAGGCTCTCTCTAGATGCACTAATTACAATCCACTGACATGACATTTCTGTGTTTCTGGGGTCGCCAGGTCAGGATTCGAGAACAGATGAAAGAGAACACTGAGGAATGGCTATAATGCACAGCACAGGCACAGATGAGCTCTGCAGCATACGTTAGCTTCACAAGACAAAGCACAAAAGGGACTTCAGAAGCACATATCATCTCACAACAAACAAAATGCTTCAGTTTGACAGTGACCAAGAGTCAAAAAGCAATATTGAACCCAATATCATTGTTCGATTACTTAAATTCAATTCTGTAACAAACACAATAGACCTGCTACAGTATTTCAATAAGCACAAACAAAAAAGTTAATATAAATATTACACAAATTATTGATATCTCTGGCAAAGCATGATAGATAATATTTCCAAAACCCAGTTATGGATGCACACCACATTTTTAAATCTCAAAATTTAAAATTTGCAATTGTCTATTTATACTTAAACACAATTAAATTTATAAATAATTATACTTGTGCTGTGTTTAAGTATAATTTCTCCATAACTAATATACAGTAATATCCTAGATGCAGCGTCTCATCTGGAAGTGAGAAGTGACATGCTCTCTCCTCTGCTTAATATCAGAGAAACTAGGATAAGCTCTGGCCTGAAGAGTCAATGTGGCTTGGATATGAAAACTACATTTATATCTTATGCTGGCATCACACTACACGACTTTTCCTAGGATTTTCAGTCATAGCCTTCATTTACATAATCGTAAGAATATCTCAACGATTTGTAGAGAGTCACAGCACACGCCCGTTACCATCAGTTGTGTAGTGTGACACCCCCAGCGACTCAGTTTGAATCAAACTGGTTTGATTTTCTCATAGCGAGTCGCAAGTTGGAGGGGTGGGCAGTTAGCCAGATGTGTACTTGTGAGATAATGCGCCCATTATATTACATGTTTTAGCGCAATACTAATTTGTTTACAATATTTGTTTTAAAGGTGTTCTATATTTTTAACTGTTTTATTTTTGTAATTTGTTCTATATTTATAAAGAAGAATGATTTTTTGAAGATGATTATTTGTGGGAAAACAATGCACGTGTAACATTTTTCAAGATGTTTACGTGCTTGTTCCCATGTTGTTTACTTTTGTGGGGTGCTCCTCTTGTGCTCCACGTTGATTGGCTGCCAAAATGAGGCGACCTTGTGGTACTTTCGCAATACGAGATTTGGAACCGTGATGAAAAGTCGTGAGGGAATCATGTAATTAGTCGCCCCCTGTGATTCCTAGTCGTATAATTTGACACCCTCTAGGACAGAAAAGGCAGCGAGATTCAGCAACTGCATTCATTAAATTTGACACGCTCTCTGTCTAGAAGTCGTGTCGAGTCCTGTAGTGTGACGCCGGCTTTTGATAAACATACTGAAATTAGTAACAACACAGGCTGCATCAATCTGCATTTAAAGGTGTGTGGCAGACTAGTTCAACATAATTTAGGAGCTTCCTAATGGAAGAAAAGTAATGCAAAAAAAAGTTAAAAGTACCCAAACTTCTACATTAAATAATGGACATAAAATAACAAACAAATGCAAAATGTAATCATGTCAAAATGCAGTATAAAATCAAAAATTAATCTGGCTATGAGATACAATTAAAGTAATCTGTGCTAATGTCAGTTGGCAACAACATTAACCCATCTGCTGATTTCAATTTGTGACCATTAGTTGAAGATTTATTTCAATAAAATCTCCAATTACTTTCTTGGTGAAAAAATCATTACCTTTATTTTATTTTTTGGTCTAATGAAAAGTATGTTAGTAAATACATTTCTCTTGCCAGTAATATTTCTAAATATGTTGCCTGGAGTTAGACAGGTTTTTAAAACAATCAAATGCTGTACATGTCTTGTTTAAATATTTTTACCTTAAATCTGAGGATTTGGAAGATTAGCTATCATTAATCTTATAATTTTGATTTGCAAACTTTATAAAATGTTTCAAAACTAAGGAAAAATATGGAATATTATTAAACATAAAAACTTTAACTAAAATGTTTAAATCACTCTTGTACTCTTAAATCTGAATAATTTGTATTGATGTGACATGCATTATAAGTTACTTTTCTTGGCAATGTGCCCTGGCAAATACTTTACACATTATACAATGTTTTTTTATGAATTCACTGCTTCAAGGCTAAACCTCTGTTGCCTCAAGACAAAAAAGAGAAGCCAAATACTTTATAGGTAGCATACTAAATCAGAAAAAGCAACATGCTCTATCAGAGCACCCAAGCATTAAATTTATTCTGTAGTTTGACAATTGAAAAAACATGTCATGCAGCCATTTTATCAATCCCTATAGAGAAGACTGTACATTGTGGGAAGAGAGATTCTGTCAGCTCTACACAGCAATCATTATCAATAAAGTGGTTTGGGAAAACACAAAGTCAATGTTAGGCAAAGTGTTCTTTCTGCTTAGAAGGCAGAATAGCACAAATTACACAATTACAGTGTCTTATTGTAAAGATCCTGAAGGATGTTCCTAAATGCCATTTTAATCATTTATAAAAGATTTATGGTCAATACACATCTACTCAGTATGACTTACTTTAAAGTATTATAATAGTAACTTAAAAGTAAAGGGAACCCTTTGAGTAACAAAAGCTACTTGTCTACTAAAGTCTCAACAGCATTAGAAAAGTATTTTTTCCACCCTGACATCACAAGAGAAAGTGACCATTTTCAGGTTTTTACAGGTTTAGTCTGATAGCTAGATGTTTATAACAAAGCTAATAGGGCCTAGTCATTTATTAGTTTGTTCTTGAATTTGTAAACATGTCTTCTGTTAATAAACTTCCTCACCTTCTTCTCTCCCTACCTTGGACTCCCCAGTTAACAACTGTGCATTTCCACTATGACCCTTGTGCCAAAAGGGAAGGAATGAAGACATGCACACCTTCCTCCAACAATTGAGCTGTCAGAGCCATCTGTCACTTTACACACAGTTTATCCCACAATAAGTTAGCATCAGATGGAGTAGTAATGCAGCTCTTTCCTGTAACACTAGGAGCTCAGAGATGCCTGGCTAGTCACTAATGTTGCTTCTGTTCAACAAGCTCATGAAACCCCTGTTGGCACAAGCTCACCCAATCTCTGCAGCACTAAGCTAATTGTGAATTGGGGCCTGGACACCTCTCGTCATGCTCAACTAAACTAAGCAGCCAAGAATACAACAGATGAATGAGTCTTAGACACTTTAAACAAAATATTCTCAAACCTCTTCTATAGTATGATAACATCATGCATATACAGTACGTAGCACAGATTGTTTAAAAAATGGTTTACTTTTTGGTCTATTAAGTGCCAAACCACCTCCCCGTGTTGTTCATATGGGCTATAAGACACTGTGTGGTCCTTGAGAGAAAAAAAAAAAACATTTGCTGAACAAATTAATACTCAAGTCAAAATACAGTAGGTAGGCAGTATAAAGATCCTCTATGATGCATCTGTCCAAGAGTGACACTATTTGTTAGCTTTCATGGCAAATTAAATTTTCAGAATCTTGTTGGTCCAGGGTATTTTGACAACGTGCCCAGTAGAGCACTGTTTTTGTCTCTGTGCCACTATGTAAAAGAGAGGTGGAATAAATGGTGTCTATTAACACCTCACATTTCACAGAAAAAAAAATTGTGTGGCTTCCAAATGTGAGTATTCTAGGCAAGCCAAAACTTATATATTTTCATGCTAGTTTTCTCTATTCCTCTTTTGATTTTTGCTGCTGTCAATAAAAGTAAGACAACATACAGTAACATTCCAAAATCTTTCAACAAATCTTACTAACTACATGCAAAGCAACTACGGTGCACCACACAGCTACAGAAGGCCCTACTAACATCCAGTTCATCTAAAAATAAAATATTAAGGGTTCTCCCTTGTTTCCATTCTATATCCAGCAACCAGATCCCCTAACCTTTCCTAAAGTTGCAGATGAAATGTCAGCAAAAGACCCTCAGGTATAAGTTAGAGACCTAACTGGACAGCACTACGGTATGAATCATTGTCGTTCTAAATGTAGAATCAGCATTTCCAGACCCTTCCTACCTGGACGTTTAAAAAGGAAAAAGAGCTGTTCCAAGAGGTTTCGTATTGATTTTTTCCCTCGAACAAAGAGTCTTTCTCAGATACATGATACATCATAATCAGGTAATTTGTACCTTTGCTTCAACAGATGAACACCAGTTTCAACAAAAGATGTTGACTTGCAAAAGTATGCACCACTTTTTTTTTGTAAAAATAGGAAATAATTTCCTCACAATAAGAGGTCACAGGTCTCAACTGTTTTATTCAACATTTTCGAATGTGAGAAAATATGTTGACCATACATTGAATAATAATGAATATTTTGTATGTTTAATATTTAAATACTAAAACAAATGCTTTTGTTATACAGAGC